TATATTAAGCCAAGTCAGGATGACTGGGACGAGAAGTTACCTCTCGTCGCCAGCCTGTACAACAATGCTGTGCACAGTACTACCGGTATGACTCCCAACCAGTTACATCTTGGTTGGAAGCCCAGAACTGCACTCGACTTCCAGCTACCAGAAAGACAACCCACTGCAGCACCTGGCAGCATAGACTTTGCTGTCAAATATGAACAGATGCTGCAGCAGGTCGTTGAACATATTAGGAAGCCTCAGGATGCTATGATCACATCTGAGAATAAACATAGACGGCCCTCTAACTTTCAGGTAGGTGATAGAGTCTGGGTAAAGTCATCTGAAATAGGTCAGGAGATGGGGATATCACGAAAACTGATGCCAGAGTACTTTGGTCCCTGGGAGATCTTAGACATTGTAGGGGATCAACCTGATGGGCCTTCATACGTGATTCGTATTCCTGCCCACTTACGCACTTACCCTGTGTCCCATGCCTCTAAGTTGGCACCGTTCGCTGCTACTGACCAGTTTCCCTCAAGGAGATCAATGCTGCCCCCAACCATGGATGGCGAGGTGGACATCGACCAGATCGTGGAGCATCGAGTAATGCCTGTTCCTCAACCATCAGGCAGAGGGCGCCCTCCTAAACCGAGAATGCAGTATCGTGTGAGCTTCAGACATCATCTGGATCCCAAGGAAGATCGCTGGTTCACACGAGAAGAACTTATGAGAACAGCACCTCAAGTGATAGCGGGCTATGAAAGAGAACTGAAAGGAAAGATGCCTGCAGACTAAGAGACTTCTCAGAGGACTAACGAAGTAAAGGAGGTGGGAATGCGAGGATCTGGGTCCTCGGCAGGCCTAAGGCGCCCCAGTTGCAGTGGTGCCCGCCCTAAGTGAAGGCGGGCCTAACTTATCACAAGAGGCCTTTCACTGTCAATTTCATATTTGGGGTACAGGCAGTTGCGACGCGCCAGTTGGTTGAAAGAAACACAGGCCGAGCAACAAAGACATTTCCACGGCCTACCGGGCCTT